TCCAACCTTGTCGGACCTTGGCAGCGATCTTGGCAGACTGTGGCTTTTGGTTCCCAACAGAAATGCAGATTGTCAGGCCTCTGTGGAGTGGATCTTATCAAAGTGTGATTTAATAAGCCTTCCAGTGACTAACACACCTCAAATTTTAGAATACCTATCCGCAGTCAGTAGTGGTATGGAGGAGTAGATGTGCTCTTAGTTGGCCACATACTCTGAATGTGTAAACAGTCACTTTCTTTTCTACAGTGATGATACCTTGTTGCAGTATTGCAACATGGTATACTGTGGTGATTATTTGGCTTAGGTTTCATTTTTTGTCTTCCTTAATAAAAGCAAAGGGCTAGCTTGCAGAATTTGTTGGCAGGTAAAGTGTTTTGGTAGTTATGAAGCCATCAAGAAAATGTTGAATTGTGTTCACTGGGTTTTATTTTAAAAGATAGGAAAATATGACAGTTGTTAAAATTGTCTTATGACTATCAGGTGATTACCACTTTAATGTGGCTTTAAAAAAATAATTGAAAAGACAAGTGTGTTGGTCATGTTATTTTACTTTTGCTTGGAATGCTATTAAAAATTGATTTCAAGTTCAAGAAGAAGGAAGCATAAACATTATCAGGTGCTACAGTGAGGATGAGCTTTCAGAATTGATCAAATTTTAAACGGGGTAAAAATATTAGGACATATGTACATTATTTAACTTAAATTGTTAACATTCCTGACAGTAGCCTGAATTACAAGTATCAGCCTCTACTGTTCCATTCTCAGATCTCATTGTTGTTTTCTATTATAAATTGGAAGTATAAAAATGGGTCAGTATTTACCTTTAGCACTCCTGTAGTTTACAAGCTTTAAATACCAAAACACTTTTTAAAGTCCATAGAGTTCACAACTCATTATTCTCATGTTTACTTAAATATAATTAATCTCATTAAGTTAGATTGTCAGCATGCTAAGAAATATATTTTACTTCAAATCATAGAAAGTGTAAAATCTCCTGAGACTTTATTATCTACATTTTAATTTGCATTTATCTTTATTTAGAAAGGGCTAAAGTGATTATAACAAATTAATATAACCATTAGCATTAATCTAAATGTGCCAACTCAGTGCATCTTCACTAGGGGTTTCTGGGGCAAATACAACTGTGGTCTATGTACATAGAAAAAATCATACCAGAATTTATACTCTGGCACAGGTCATGAGATGTGTCTTAATTACTTTGTTCGTTACCTTGTACATGCTTGTACTTGCTTACCAAATGCCACAAGACTTTTTTTTATTAGAGACATTTCCTTCTCTGCAATTTTGAAAACCTCGTATTCTTACCACCAATAGTTATTAAGGAAATGCAGAAAAAAAAACCCAAAAACTATAGTTTCTAGGTCAGGCACCAGTAACTCTAGCTACTTGGGAGACTGAGATCAGGAGGGTCAAGGTTTGAGGCCAGCCCAGGAAAACAGCTTGTGATGAACCCCCCACCCCATGCCACCCCCCCCTCCAGAATCCAAAAATAGAGCAAAATGAACTGGAGGCATGGCTTGAGTGGTAGGGCTCCTGCTTTACAAGTGCGAAACCTTCTGAGTTCAAACCCCAGACCCACAAAAAAGAAACCAACTATCTTCTGCATACTCAACTGGCTAAAATAAAGGGACCTAAGAATTGTTGGTGAGAGCATATGCAGAAACAGGCCTCACCTAATGCTGGTGAGAACAAAAAATGGTGCAGCCACTTTTGAAAACAATTTGACAATTTCTTAGAAACTAAACATAAATTTGACATATGACCCAGCAATTCCATACCTAGGTATCCACCTAGTAGAAATGAAAATGTATCCACACAATAACTTGCACACAAACTTTCTTAGCAGCTTTATTTATAGCAGCCCCAAACTGGAAACAACCTGTATATTCACCACTGGGTGCATGAATAAAGTGAGGTATAGCCATACAGTGGAATATTACTCAGCGATAAAAAGAAATGAAGTACTGGTACATGCTCCAACACGACAACCACCAAAACATAAGAGACCACATGTTGTATGATTTTACTTACATGAAATGTCCAGAAAATGCAGATTACAGACAGATTGATGTTTGGGATAGAATATGGGGAGAGGGAAAGGGGGATTAATAGTAAATGGGCATATGCCACCTAATTGACATGACTTGAATGTTCCAGAACTGTTTTTTGGTAATAGTCGAGCAATTTGGTATATTTACTAAAAATCACTGACTCATTTACTTAAAAATGTATTAATTGTGACATTTAAAAATCTGTCTTGATATAACCATCAGTTTATCAAAAGGATAATGCACTATGATCAGGAAAGTCTTTTTCCAAGAAAACAAGAATGATTTAAAATAAAACACAGTGAACACAATCCAACACATTTTCTTGATGGCTTCATAACTACTAAAGCACTTTACCTGCCAACAAATTTCCTTTCTTTTATTAAATACATTCTTACATATTTTATTACTATTAGGAATGGATTTTTTTCCACCAACTAATTTATCTAAAGAAATCAAGACAAATGTTTTCTTACATGAATCTCTATCAGCAGTGTACGCTATAAGAGTTTTTGTCCTAATTTTAAAAGATCAAAGTTTAAAGACCTAGTACATTATGTTACTGAGTTGGAGAAGAGGAAAGTTATGTATTTAAAGTTAGTGCAAATTAACTGTGTGTGCATATGATGCACTTTAATCATATTCATAGGAATGGCTTTTTAAGTTTTTGGTTTTTTGTCTGGCTGCAGCAGAGAAAACCTGCTGCTTCCTGCAGAGTTGCATTTTAGCCTAATAGTTTAGCACGTTCATTGCAAGCTAGCCCTTTACTTTTATCAAGGAAGACAAAAAATGAAACCCAAGCCAAACAATCACCACAGTACACCATGTTACAGTACTGCAACAAGGTATTATCACTGTAGAAAAGAAAGTGACTTAAAATTGTCTTATGACTATCAGGTAATTACTAATAGTTTTTAAATCTAGTATCCTACAGTTTACTTTGGTGAAATTGTCTGTTTCTCAATGAGATTTTACCTTCCTCTGTTAATACAAAACATTCTAGCTAGCCTAGCTAGAAGAGATTCAATTTATATATAGTAATTTTATTCTAGCATCTCTCAACAGTAGATCATTAAAACATGTAAGAAAGAGATGCTCCTCTACTCATACACTACTTAAAAATTTCAAAAAAATTTAGGGCTGGTGGAGTGGCTCAAGTGGTAGAGCGCCTGCCTAGCAAGCGTGAGGCCCCTGAGTTCAAACCCCAATACTGCAAAAAAAAGATTTAAAAACTAATTTCACTTGGATCAATGACTCAAATGAAAGAAATAAAGCAATAAGAATATTGCCAGATAACGCAGTACACTGTATCCACAAACTGGGACAAAAAGACTTTCTAAACAGGACTGGAAGTTCAGAAGCCATGGAAAGAAAGATGTATACTTGATTGACCTAAAAAGGAAAATTGTACAAAAAATATTATGAAACAATTTCAATAGACCAGTGATAAATCTAGAAAAATAGAGTTGGAAAATAAAGTACTTACTTGTATGTTTTATATAAAGAGCTCTTAAAATTTCCCAAAGTCCAACTACTTGAATAGTAAAAAGGAAGTGGACAAAGGCAGAAGAACGATTGCAAGTGGCCCAAA